GGCATCTCTCGATTTAAGCAAAGCTTTTGATTCTGTTAATCATAACTTACTCTTAGACAAACTGTGTCACTATGGCATTGACCATCCATGGTTTAAGAACTATTTAGACGCTAGAAAACAGTTTGTTAGGGGCTGTGATGAGAAACGCGACGTTCTGTCCGGCGTGCCCCAGGGCAGTGTTTTGGGCCCTATGCTCTTTAATTTATTTGTTAACGATTTGCCAACTGCTGTACCCGAGTCATGTACAATTGTTCAATATGCTGATGACACCCAGATCGTGGTTTCCGGCTCACCCAAAGACGTGAATGACATGATCTCCCGCCTTCGAGCAGTCCTTCAAATATTAGCTGAATGGTTTTCTCGAAATCGGCTGGCCCTTAATGTTAGTAAATCAAAAGTAATCCTCTTTGGCTCCAAAGCAAGCTTAAGACGCATGAGTATTAAGAGCATCAATATATTTGATACCAGCATTGCGATCAGTTCATCCATCGTAAGTTTAGGCGTTACGCTCGACCAGTCTCTATCATGGGATCGACATGTTAGCACCGTTGTGGGGAAATCGATAGGCATGTTGATTCGTCTTGGTCATCTTCGCCACATTATGCCCCTAAGAACGATTGTGCTTCTTATCAATGCTTTAGTCCTCCCCCACGTTCGTTTTTGCATATCTGTCTGGGGAAGTTGCAATGCAACGCAACGGAAAAGAATAGGGAAAATCATAAAATTTGCGCGGCGTATTGCTGGCCGTGAATCACAGAGATTAGCTTGGCATGGTGATGTTGGGGCCGAGCATAATATGGCTGTGCTGAAAATTATTCGAAAAAGTCTTCTATTCCCAGAAAACACTCCAAATGCTATTTCATCGCTTTTTAAAATGAAACGATCTGAGCGAATGACGAGGCAATGTGGCAATTTGGACCTTGCCATCCCTAAAACCGAATACAAAAAAGCATCCTTATCGTATCACGGTTGTAAGATATGGAATGGGTTACCTCCACATTTACGACAATGCTCTATCGCCGAGTTTAGCAAATACCTTAAAAGTAAAGCGGATGCTGGCGAATTAAGCGGTTAGGAATGTAGCACTGCGATGCGTCTTATTCGAATGTGTATACCTATAATTGTGAAGTTGTGCATAAGTGTGAATTGCAAATGTTAACAATCTTGTATGATATGTGCGAGCGGTGCGAGGCTGCGTTATCTGTGCTTTTGCCAGTTCCCGTCGTAATGCCCACTTGTTTGTGGTTGTCGGGTGAACCGAAAAATAAATAAATAATAATAATAAATAAACAGAGTTGGGGAGCGTTCAGCGCAGAACTTCAGGGGAACATCAAAAGAAGCCGGCGGGCTGACGACTGGCGACACGAAATAGAGAAGACGATACGGCAAATGGTGGTAAATGACGGACGATTAGGGGTAGACGAAGCAAAACCGACGTTACACAATGAGAAGTGAAGGTTTCGTGGAAAATGCCGGGACTGAGTGGTTCGTAGGTAACTATGTAAGCACGAAGTAAATATTAAGTGGCACTCAGCGGCATGTCTATGTTTCATAATTCCAGAAATCTGCTCTGTCGTCTGCAGCACATCCATAATGCGCCCACAATGATGGTGGCCACGACCGTGCACCATCCGACCTTATGCATGCATTAGGCAGTTAATGGAGTCGGAAGCCTATGAGCCGTGGAGGTCGGGTCGCATGACCTAAAGTCAACGTTAGACCACGGAAACTTGATACGCGCTGAAAGCTGCCGGAATCATAATGAGAGACCCGGACCGTGCTTTATCATGTCAAAAGTGGTGTGTGCAACGTGTATTAATCAAATATATTAGTAAACCATGTCAAAACACTCTAACTACCAATGCTCCTGCTCAATGCAATGGCTCAATGAAACGTTTTCCGACCATTCGTCAATCCCTCCCATAACGCCACCCGATAGCCTATGTGCCTTTTCGCCATGATCGATATGGAATGTTAGGAGCTGCATTCATTGATGGCGTACTACCAATTCATGCCGAAGTCCCGTCCAAGGTCAAATGAGGCAGTCGGGCGGATTTCGACTGTTTATGTATTGGCAATGCAGACTTTCAATTCAAACCAGTAAATATCAACGTTTACTGTGAACCGAACAATCGCATGGCTGTGCTAGCGCTTGTCCGCAGCACAAAGCCAAGTTTGTTTGACTGCGACGGGCATGTTCATGGAAATCCGACGCCGGACGAGCTTATACTAAATTGGTAGGCCTGTGGAAAATTAAGTGATCCCGTCACGCACGCAAAGCTTTAAAAGTGTCCTTACTCAGAATTTTGACGTCTTTGCCAACGCCAGCGTCCCCAGACTGTCGCCCGGTTCCCGAAACTACTGCTGACGCACACTCCTGAATTCAGAGTTGTTCCGTGTAAATGCCCGCTATTTTTCCGGAATAGTTGGAACAATCCCTCACCGGCTCCACCAAAGGACGTCGGTGCCCCATTTTCGGCAACTTTGTAACACAGCCTGCAAGTCCGACACACCAAAATGTAGCGGCATGTTTCACTCAACTTTGTCCCTGTAGCGTCTTCCTCAACTGTATCCGGTAGCCAAACATTGGGATACAAGCCTTGGCACCCAAACTGTACTTACGGGCGACCCTGGCGCTCCAAGGTACAGCGCCCTGGTGTAGGTTACTCCACTGACGGATACCGACCCTGTGAAAACGTCAGCAGCGCGGTTCCGGTCGATGCTAGACGTCCTGCACGGCGTCAGTAATGTACTGCACCGGGCCATTGACCTTGTTTTGAAGCCGGACCAGTATCAACACACGGTCACGCGACTGGTATCGATCTGAGCTGCTCAATCCTGACCGTGAACCGGAAATGTCCTTGAGTTGACGGGGTATAACGTAGACCGGTGTCAGAAGTGACAGGGCGACTCAAATTGTCTATGTTTTGTTGGAATCCTACCTATTTTCAATATAAATGCTTCAGCCACATTTTTGTTAATCCGCACCCCACTGGGGTCTGCGTATAACACGCCCTATTGGGGGGGGGGGGGCATTCACATAGCCCCCCCTCCTAACTCCGAAACTACTGGGCTGATCGTCAAAATTCAAACGGCGTCTGATAGCCCCGGAAAAACTGTCGAACGAAACCTAATGTCGATCCCCAACTATCTCAAGCACCCAGAATCGTGATTTAACCCTCGCCGGCCGAGGGGGGTGCCGCCCCCCATAGGGTTTTTTTCGCGATAGCTCCGAACACGCTGGCGATAGAGAGCTGAAACTTAGCATACCTGACCTTTGATCCAAGCCGGATCTTTTGACACCAACCGCATTTTCGGGTCAGGTCAGGTCACTGACCTATGACGTCATAAGTGAACCTCTGCACGGTCTTCAGATGTCGCAACTTCGCAACGCCCTCACTGCCAGAGGAGATGTCACAGGGAAATGAAATTTGCAGGATCTAGTATCCATTATGAGTCCCACAACTTGCATATCTCGGATTTTTCCTAAAGGTCATATGAGGTCAGGTCATTTTCGTGAACTCACCATTATAAGTCAATGGGGAAAAATGAAAACTGCTATTCTGGCGCCAGGAACGATCTCCAACTATCTCAAGCACACAGAATCGTGATTTGATGCACTCCTTGCAAGGTTAGATGCGTCACTTTTGCAATGTTGACCTTGCGTGACGTCATTTATGACGTCATCAAGGTCATATTAGTTTTTCGTCAATAACTCTTGATCAAATTGAGCTAGCGAGTCGGGAAAGCCACCAATGGACTGAGGAAGACCTGCCGAATCGAATGATATGCGACATGACCTCTTTCGACCAACTTCGTGACCTGGGGGTGCTGACCTGACCTTGACCTGAGGTCAACACCCCAAGTTGACCTGACCCGGACAAAAAGTATATCATTCGACGCGCCTGAGCGAGACGAACACGATGCTGCCAAAATCGGCGCTCTGCGGCCGTTTTTTGCGAAGTTATTCACCAAAAACTGAACCGTACCTTGGGGCACTTGACCTGACCTCAGAGGTCACCGGTTGACCTAGGACCTTAAAATCGGGTACCAATCTCTGCGTCTCGTAACGGCGCACACGCTCGTTTTTTCCGCAACGCGCTAGCTCCACCAGGGGCGAAACGGCGAGGGGGGGTCGTACCCGCCCCCCCCCCCCCTCGGCCGGCGCGTATGTAGAAAACCAATAGGTCCGGCGAGGGTTAATGCACTCCTTGCAAGGTTAGATGCGTCACTCTTGCAATGTTGACCTTGCGTGACGTCATTTATGACGTCATTAAGGTCATATTAGTTTTTCGTCAATAACTCTTGATCAAATTGAGATAGCGAGTCGGGAAAGCCACTAATGGACTCAGGAAGACCTGCCAAATCGAATGATATGCAACGTGACCTCTTTCGACCAACTTCGTGACCTGGGGGTGCTGACCTGACCGTGACCTGAGGTCAACACCCTAAGTTGACCTGACCCAAACAAAAAGTAGGTATATCATTCGACGCGCCTGAGCGAGGCGAACACAATGCTGCCAAAATCGCGGCTCTGCGGCAGTTTTTCCGAAGTTATTCACCAAAAACTAAACCGTACCTTGGGGCACTTGACCTGACCTTAGAGGTCACCGGTTGATCTAGGACCTTAAAATCGGGTACCAATCTCTGCGTTTCGTAACGGCGCACATGCTCGTTTTTTTCCGCAACGCGCTAGCTCCACCAGGGGCGAAACGGCGAAGGGGTCGTACCCGCCCCCGCCTCTCCCCCTCGGCCGGCGCGTATGTAACTAGAAAACCAATAGGTCCGGCGAGGGTTAGGCTAGCTGGCTTGAAATTTGCATCACCAATATTCTGCTGCAAACGGGACCATACTGGTAGCTAGCGCCATCTATTTGGTGCAGGCCAGAGACATCTAGGCCAGTCTCAGCCATGTCTTAGTCACCAGGATTTCTAGAAATTTTCGCTAGATTTGGGAGCAATCGCTTTCTTACTGAGCTGCCATATCAGCAACGTCGCGTCGCCTTCGTTTGTTTCGATTTGCGGCGTGTTGCGAGCGGGGGTGTGGTGTGTGAACTTGTGCATTTGTTATTCTCGCCAAAACTAAAAATGGCTGATGAAAACGTCAACGGAGGAGAGGGTAACGAAAACGGAAGTGTTCCAGAGGTCGAGCTCATCATCAAGGTATTAACGTATAGCGTTTCCTCTCGCTTCAGCCGCACCGCCAGGTCCCACACGCCGCGCCACCACTCGTCACTAAACTGTATTCTCGCTCAGCATTGCCAGTATGGCGGCCAATAGAGGAGCACGTAATAGAGAAACAAGTACCCACTGGCGATAGTACTCGGTACAAACGAAACGCTTAATGTGTGGTGGAAGTCAAGTCCCTGCTGATTGCCGGCCAAACAGGCAAACATTTTGCATGCTTCTATTTCTGTCCGAATGTTCGAGACTTCATTAAAACAAGCTAATGGTTTGATAGACACTGCCCTGCTTGATCGATACCTATCCAAATTATGTACTTTTTATGTAGCCTTTTATGAGCTAAAAATTCACATCTGCTTACTTAACTAGAATTCATGTCAGAAGCTTGTATAAACTGAAACTGCTAATTATTGCCTACAGGATTGCCTCGGAAAGCATGTTAAGTTGAAGTGTGGAATTGGCAAGCCATGCTACTTTGTAACAGTGACATAAGCACACGTTCTGCTTACCAGCCCTGCATATCTTAGTCTCTCCATTCCATCTCAATCTCACCTCGCTGTTTTTTGTTTTATTCGTTCAGTGGTGGAAGGTCATGTGGAGCAACAGTGCACTTATCTTTTGCTACAAATCTTGGAATAGGTATGCCAAAGTCACTTAAAGAACACTCAAACAATAATGTCAAGCAGTTTATATATCTCAACTTCATTCTTGAAAATATTGCCTCATGATGTAGGTAGTAGTAACTAGCAACTAGTAAGGGTTAAGAAGTAGACTCACTTGTTTGTTTGGTGGTTGCAAAGCATTATTGCCTTTGAAATAGTTTCAATGCCCTTTGCAGGTGAATGTGCATCTGACAGTTGCCTTGTGATTGTGACTGAATGGAGAAGTGATGTGCTTATGGTGGTATTTTGCCACCACCAGGCTCATACATGTTAGACTAGACATGCACACAAGTATTGTATTACCAATCAACATAAGTAATAGTAGCTCCTTCGCCTTGATAACACCAGGAGCTTGCTTGGCATGCCTTGCATTTGATTGTATGGTCTGTTTGACATTGTAGGGATACACTTCGTGAAGATTGACTTCAAGTTTATATGTTGTGACTGTTACCAAAACCAGGGTGACAATAACAGTGATAAGTAAAACTATAATGACCATCATGGCTATAGCTAGCTACCCACTCTTCAATAGTGTAGGTGGACATGACAATTCACAGTGCTTTAAAATGTCAATCCAATTATAACTAGACACTAAATTGTGGCAGATCAACTGATTTATTGTTATATTTTATAGGTGAAAACCTGACACATTAGTAGGTACCTACAGATAACAACCTCAAATTTCATTTGTTACGTGAAGGTACTTACACTCTTGCATGAAAGGGAAAGGAGAGTCGAGGACTGAGGAAAGTAAGTCCGTTTCGTAATTCGTAAACCAATAAATCACCAGGTAATCCCGATACCAATTCAGGCTAGTTCCAAAATGCTGCTGCATAATTTTGTCGTCCGTCAATAGCAAGTGGCACTGGAACGTATTTCCCTCCTCCGGTCGGATGCTGCCCCACGTGCCGGTTCGATTCGGCCGTCCGTCGGCCGACCGTTGGCAGGCGGGCGGACCGGTGAGCGGTGCCGGACCCTCCTCCGCGCGCGGCCGCCGCTCAGCAGACGTGCCCCGGTGTCCTTCCCGCCGCCTCCGTGGCCTCAGGCGGCGCGGCGCGGTGACTCACCCGTCGCCACCCGGCAACGTCACCCGCAGAGCGACCCGACCGGCGCGGCGGCCGAGGGTGCCAGAGCGGCCACTTTTTGCGCTGGAAGACCTGTGTAATGTGTATTGCAGTCGGGCAGGAACTCGGAAGCTGCGGGTCCAGCGTTCCGGGATGCTTGTATTACACGGGTGGTAGTGAAAGCTGCTGGCGGAAGCATGCAAAGCGTCTGGAGAAGCTGTTCTTGGCGCTTGAAGTCGTTAGGTTGTAAATTCGCTGCGAATTATATTCGGTCTAGATGAACTCTCTATATTGAAATTTCTGGCACGCCACTCAGAACTATTAGGAAAGTAATCTTGACTCGGAATATCTGAGCTGCCTCACTACTCGATCAGGGCCTACCAATGACCGACAATAGGTACGTCAGCTCTAGAGGGACCTTCGTAGCCGTCTGGAGCAAGGTCTGGAGTGCACTATTCTCCCAGTACGCCCGCCCTTTGCTGCTACCACTCTCAGCAGTTTTTTTTTTTGCGTGTCCTGTATGCCATGTCAACAGCCATTGACCCATAGTGACCCATTGTCCGCTGCACCCCACGCCCGGCTTTGCTCAGTAACGTGACCCGCACTGAGCGTGTGCGTCGGGCAGTGAGTGATATGTGGGGCATTCCACGATAGATCGTACCACTTTTTTCCAATTTGACACCCTCATCTCTCGGAATTTGACGAGAATTGGTCTCAGGGGTAATCAGGGGCTCTGAATCCACCTGTAACAATTTCAGGCTTATCAGATAAGTATTTTTTGAGTTATGGAGTGTAACATTTTTTGGATCTTGCTTTGCAGCGCTAAGTTTGGCGGGCTGTAACTCTGAGACGGATTATTCAAATGCCAAATGTTATATAACATTGAACTTGCAATGATACAGAGATTAATATGTATTTTTGAAATTTCGAAAAATACGCTATTTTTGATATATGACATATCAAGTTTTCTTTCATTTGTATTTTTTGGACTTTGGGACCAATTTTTTTTGAATTTTTATTTCTTTAAAAAAATATTTGGCTCATTGTTAAGAAGTATGCAAAAAATTAGGAAGGTGTTCTTTCTATAAATGTATTTATTTTACGTCACGACAACGGTTTCGAATAGTGATTTCGGGATGGGAGCTTACAAATGGCGTGGTAAAGCTGCCTAGTGACATCACGGGTTACTGAAATTTCAATTCAAGTCTGAGTCATCTGAAAAAAAGTGAAAAGAGGGTTCATTCAGCCCTCTTTCCTTTAATCGCGAGGGTGAAAAAGGCTGTTTGGTTCTGACATTGTTTTGGACGCCAATGACCATAGCTGTCCGAGATGAAAGTTACAGGACGCATACATGGTGTCTTCCAGAGGTCTCACAACTTGTATATCTGGGAATTTTTCAAGGTCACACGAGCCACGTGACATCACTGTTATAAGTCAATGGGGAAATATAAAATCTGTTATTTTGGCGCCGAGAATGATCTAAAACTATCCCACGTTCATGGTATCGTGATTTCATGCACTCCTTGCAAAGCCCAATGCTTTACTTTTGCATTGTTAACTTTGCGTGACGTCATTTATGACGTCACTAGGGTCGTACGAGTTTTTCGTCAATAACTCCCGATCAAATCGAGCTAGAGAGTCGGGAAAGCCACCAATGGACTCGGGAAGACCTTCCGAATCGCATGATATGCCATATGATACCCTTTGCCCAGCTTCGTGACCTGAGGGGCTCTGACCTGTCCTTGACCCGAGGTCAACTACTTAAGTTGACCTCACCCTAGCAAAAAGTATACCATTCGATGCACCTGAGCTAGGCGAACACAATGATGCCAAAATCGCGGCTCTGCGGCCATTTTTGCGAAGTTATTTACTAAAAACCGAACCCGTAACTTCAGTCACGTGACCTGACCTCAGACGCTACCGGTTAACCTGAGACCTTAAAATCGGGTACCAATCGCTGCGACTTGTAACGGCACACACGCTCGTTTTTTCCGCGAGGGTCTAGCTCTATTAGAAGCGAAACGGCGTGCTAGGGTCGTATCAACCCCTCCGAAACCCATTTTGTTTGCGGGAAAATGAGGAACTTATAGAAAGAACACCTTTCTAATTTTTTGCATGTCGATTTCCAATGACATGAAGATTATTTTGAAAAAATGAAAATGTGAAAAATTTTGGTCCCAAAAGTCATTAGAGGCAAATGAAAAAAGATTAAGGTTTTTGCTCAACAATGAAATTTTTTCTTTGGAATTTTTAAATAGTAATATTAATTTTTGATTCATCGTAAGCTTAGTGTTGTTTACTTTTTGTTGGTTGCTTAACCCGTTCTTGAGTTATAGGCCATCAAACTCACCGTTACATACCGAAGTTAAAAAAATGTAATGCAATATAACTCAAAAAGTTTTGATCTGAGAAGTCTGATATTTTGCCAGGCGTCTTTGGGGCCTATGATTACCCCTATGACCGATTTTCATTAAAATCTGAGAGATGAGGGTGACGGGCCTGGTACGATCTATCGTGGAATGCCCCATCTATCTACTGTTAACGCCAGACCCCTTGAGACCCTAATTTTTCGCGTTTATTTTTGAATGTGTGGAAGAATTTCAACCAAGCTCAGGACATGGCCGTTTCAAGACCTGCCGAAACTTTTACAATTAAGATATTTTGTCGCCATTTCAATATTTCAGACACTTCTCATTGACTCGTAATGTTAAATTTCGAGCAAGATTTTCACCCGGTGTGTAGAGGCTATCACCAGTCAGTCTGTGATACGTTATGACGTCACAGCTAAGCCTCGCCTCTGTGGTCTTGGCCTGCGGCGGTTTCGGGCCGGCGCGCGGTCACTCGCGCTGTGGCGGGGAGCGAGGACGGTCGAGCGGTGCCGAAAGCCGGCAGAGTTGTGCGTAACGTCTTTTCTGACAGTGCCCAAAGAGCGACATGATGACTGAGGAGCAATAAATGCTCAATGCGCATTGCTTGTACAAGGCTGATATGTTCGCGGATATTTGTTTTATCTTTATAAGCTGCAAATGACTGGCAGATGGCATATACCTGACACAAGGTTAGGAAATATTCACCTGTATCTAAAGCCTATGGCGTTGCAGATAATGTGATAATGGGATGTCGGATGTCATCAAGTAGCTGCTGATTTGTACATCGCTATGCACCCATCGACCAACGCAATACAATAATAAGTTGCCTTCGCTTCACATCATAAGGCTCGCTCGTATTTCACCAAGCAGATATCCTCCATCGA